CTAATCTTTATGTTTAATCTTCAAACTTTATGCATCATATTTTTTAATTATTTTTTGAGCCCATACAATAATCTGTTAAGAAGATGTGCTTGATTTTTAGTCCCACTTCAATGAAACCATAAGGTTGCTTCATATATATTTTTTTTTGCAACTCTTCCGGAAGAAATTCATCTTCAAATCCATTTATTCAAGTCCCCTTGTTGAACTGAGTAACCATGCCAAGCAAGATCCTGATTGATGTTCGCCTTACAACTATAGAGAATACATCGTAGATCAAAATTTTTTTGTGAGAAGCTTTTTCCGATTAGTCTTACTTTTAATCTGACTTTTTCAGATTTAGTAAAACCTACCTTCTTTTTGAACTATCCGTTGCAACTTACCTTTTCAAGAATGGCTGTGTTGAACCTCTCTACTTACTCATTTTTTGTTGCGTGATCATTTTCATTATGTAATGCCTTAATATCATTGATCTTTGTGGAACTGAAGCCGGGCTTCCCCCTTTCCGTTACGGACGCGGGCGTCCTTTTCTTGCTGCGGGTGAACCGACTATCATTTCGGCCAGCTGGACTGGTCTGGACAGGGGCTGATTGGACCGGACCCTGCTCCCGCTCATTAGAGCGGGATTTATCCCCTGATCTTGTGACTTCTTATTCGAGGGATTGTCGCTCCTGCCCCCTGCTTCCCTCTCTTGCCTATGCGAGCCTTGCCATAGGGGAGCTCCTTCCTATTTTGCATCCCTTACCTTCATAATTCTTTCCTCCTCCAAGTATTGCCTCTTTTGTCGACTAACTTCAATTATAAATGTGTGTTAGCTTGCCTAGGTTAGGCAGTTTTTGCAGTGTGTTGATTTCAAATTCTTGTGTGAAGTCTTTTTCCCCTTTGAGGGGTGTATCCGAGGAGGTGGTGGTGCTTCGTCTGTTTCCTACTCCAAGATGTTGTGTATCCTCTTCCTTTTTTGGCTATCCGGCCTTCCTTCTCCTTCCTCATAGCATGGCTTCCAACACCTTCCAGCCGCTCCATCTTCTGCATCTACCTTGCTGTCCATCACCTTCTAGCCACCCCTCTGCCTGACGTCGGTCACCTACAAACCTCCATACTTGCTGTCTCTACAGTTCTACACCTATCCCTTCTGCAATCAGCATTCCTTGGCTGCCACCACCATTGCCAACTATCCCAATCCACGTAGCCGATCTCCACTGCCATTGGAATACATCTCAGAGGAGTTGCTTTGTCGTGTATGTCGGTGTTGTTATTTTCTGTCGTGTCGTGGTGTAAACCTATTTCCCTATTAATATAAATGTGCTTTTATGTTTCTACTGTTTCCCTATGAGTTCCAGTTTCATTTGGTATTAGAACTAGCCCAACCCTAGTCCTATTTTAGGGTTCCCTAGCATCCGCCATAAACTAAAACTTTCTTTCCTACCACTAAAAATCCTCACCACATCCCAAACCCTAAACCCACAAAAAATTTCCTTTCATATTCCTTAATCTCCAGCCATGCCACCATTGAGATGCATACTTGAGCCTTCACGAGAGGAGATATGACGAGAAATCAGCCGACTTCGGCGGTGGATTATGTGCATAGAAGATGAAATCCAATGGGAGATTACCTTCGATCGTGATCCGAAAAGTCGAAGGGGGGAACGAGAAAATTGAAACAGGAAACACAACGTCAGTTCCTACCAACTTACTATCGCCAAAATTGCAGATTTTAGCCTTCGAAAGGGAGAGACTGTCGAATCACCAAGCGACCCCCTTGCTACTATCTAGTGAAAACCAATCCCCAAGTCTATCACACTCAGAAAATGTTGCAAGTGACATATATTTGGACATGTTTAAACATAATGCACAACCAGGGGAGTGATCAACTTCACCGAACATGGCGTCATCAAAAAGTTGGGTAAAGACACCGTAGACACCGGAGAGCAGTTCAAACGAGAATTTTCTTTCGATGACGTCTTCCATAGTGGAACTCTCTTGTTCGTGGATGCATCAAATGCCTTTCCTCCATATGGTTAGAAGGAACATGCAATTTTTGACGAAATTGCAGTTCATGCTCTCCTAGAAGACAAATAACTTTTTGTTGAGACATATAAAGATCACGTAGACCAAAATATGTTAGAATTTAAAAATGCAGTGGATGGTCTTAGTAATGACCAACTGATAATATCACAGGCGGCTAAATTTACAATCCTCACCCCAGTGTTCCATATGAGGTGACGAAATGCAATATGAAGCTCTTATGTTGGAACACAACAAAAGATGTCAGTTCTCCAAAACTTTAGGAGTTAAGAGGGAAGACTCATAAGATAATAAGAATCACCCATCAAATAAATTCTTGCAAACCCTCAGCCTTGTTGAGGCCCAACTTGTCATAGATGAGAAGCATATGTGATATTTACTTGTTCGGACATTGGCTTAGGAGAATCTACGTCATTGTGTACCTCTTATGCCAAAGCAAAACAGAGCGATAGGTAGGTATGCTCGCAAGTGGGAAAAACTCCTCAAATGCGTTGGGAGCCAGTGCAGTTGTCAGTGAGATCCGGGAATGACCGACAAGAACCAAAATGAAATCAAAGCTCTTCAATCCCGGGAGATTGAGGCGGGGCTTCACCCTTCCCGCTATGGGCGCAGGCGCCCTCTTCTTGCTGTGGGTGAGCTGACTAGCATTTCGGTCTGGTGGACCGGCCTGGACAGGGGCCGGTTGGAGCGACCCAAGCCGGTTGGATCGGCCCCTGCTCCCACTTATTAGAGCGGGATTTATCTCCCGATCCCGTCACTTCCTCTTCAAGGAATTGCCGCTCGCGCCCCCTGCTTCCCTCTCCTGCCTATTCGAGCCTTGCCATAGGGGAACTCCTTCCTATTTTGCATCCCTTACCTTCGTAGTTCTTTCCTCCTCCAAGTCTTTCCTCTTTTATCTACTAACCTCAATTATGAATGCGTGTTTGGGGGATTTTGCTGTGTTTATTTCAGATTCCTGTGTGGAGTTCTTTTCCCCTTTGGAAGCTGTATCCGAGGAGGTGGTGGTGCCCCGGCTGTATCCTATTTGAAAGTGGTTCGTATCTTACTCCCTTTTGGCAATCCAACCCTCATATTCCTTCCCAATAGCCGCCGATCACTCCTAATTCCCTTCCCCAACCTCTGCCGCTCCATCTCCTTTATTTACCTTGCTGTCCAACACCTTCCAGCCAACCCTCCGCTTGCCGTCAGTCACGTACGACCCTCCATACTTACTATCTCTAAAGTCCTGCTCCTCCCCCCCATGCTGCCATCAGCATTCCTTGGCCGCCACCACCATTGTCAAGCATCCCAATCCACCAGTCGACTTCCACTGCCCTTGGAATACACCTTAGAGGTGCTGCTTGTGTCGTGTATGTTTTGTTTTTATTTTTTGTTGTGTCGTGTTGTAAATTTTTTTTCCCTATTAATAAAAGTATGTTTTTGTGTTTCTACTATTTTTCCTAAGAGTTTCGGTACCAAGAACTTTGTGAATTCATCAACACAAAATTCAAGCTATTGCTTATCAACGCTTGTGATTCTCGGCCATATATTTGAAAGCACCAATATCTATAAGCCATGGATCTCTTCCTTTGAGTTGTTGTTTAAATTAAAGCGGTAATTTACTTTTTTTGAGCAATAGAGATCGAAACAACTTTTATTTTTTTGAGCTGTTTATTGGTGAATGAGACTGATGTCACTCAGCTTGCTATCCTTGATCGTGGCTTGAAATTCATTACTTTATTCATTTTCAAATTGCTAGCCTCTCATGAATTTTACATCTTTTTTTAAAGTTTGATGTGATTTCTGACAATGATTACACTACATGCGATAAATTTTTTGATTTCTACATAAGTCATGTGATTTAATATCTTTTTTCTTTGTCTAACGGACAAATTTTTGGGAGTGCATTTTTGAGATTTTTTTCCTTGGCTTCCAAGCATCCTCAAAATTTCCCATAGGTTAGGAAAATATTTCATTCCTATTAAATGTATTCTTACCTACAATTCGTTATTCAACCCAAGAAGGAAATAAAAAACACATTCTTTATTGAACATTTGGGTATATTTAAAACTATGTTCAGGACAAGTCCAATTGATTTCATAAAGTATATCCATTTTTTTGCTAAAATTTAGTAAAAGTGTTAAAGCCGTAAGGGGAAGTCATGCTAGTTTGGTGTGTATTTTTTATGGGAGATTGAATTTCGAAGCACTGTGCTATATTTTTGAATTGGAATACATTTCCTGTACAATATCCCATATCTCCTTTGCATGTTTATAGAAGAGGCAGGGCAGGCCATTTATAGTCCAGTGCATTAATCAACCATCCCATCACCATGGAATTCTTGACCTCTCAAATCTTGCAGCCAATTTGATCATTCGTTGGTTATTTTTTAACCCCTATAATTTAGTATATTTGTACCTTTTCTCAGATCACCAATTCTGATCGGGAGGGATTCCTAATGGTGGTCCCATCGAGTTATTGTTACGCAATTTAAAGGGAATGATGATCACTAAGTTCGTTTTGGACATTTGGAAGGGAAGGGATAAGATGTGTGGGGCTGGTGCCGGGGGAGGGAAACCTGAAATTTTGGTAACTCACAATATAAAAGCAATAATATCAAACAAAATAAGAAAAATCCTCATTTAATCACCATAAATTATGGATTTTCCTTTGATCTGCAACAATTGTAATTACGGTTTAAAACCAAATATGGTACATCAAAGAGAAGGCTAAATGCTCTATAAGTTATGTCAGATGAGTTATTTTTATTTACCTCAAATAAAGTGAGATAGAAAGAAGTATCATGCAACACTTTTGGGCTCATAAGTTAGCTATTGGCTCTGGAATTAGCTATTCTAGTGTCTCTATGTTTTAAGTATTTTTATGAGAATGATGATCAACTTCATGCTTGTGCTTAACCATTATATTTATTTTATCTCTGTGGTTATCATTTTCTCTTCTTATTTTTCTATTTTTGTTTTTTTTTCAATGTTGAACAGTTATACCCGGTAACATCATCTTTTGGGAAACAAGTACTAGTCTCTCTTGAACGTGCAGCTGCTCCCTATTTTGGCATAAAGGTTGAATATAGAAAAACATTTAGTTGTTGATTCCTTAAAAATTGAGAATAGCGTATACATTTTAGCAGTCTTAGCATTTTCCTTGAATAAATTGCTTGTTTATTTGATTTTCTTAAATTTAATAGTTACAAATTGTCATGTTTTGAAAGATTTTATTTTTTTAATTTTGGCTAAATCATTACATCTCACTAGCTACAAATATTTATTGGATTTTTTCGTAAGATTAGATGGTTGAAGAAGATAGATGTTACGGATTTATATAGAATAATTGCAGTGCATCTTTACATAACTGTCACATCTTTCAACATCTCTAGATATTTATGATGGGCTCAAATATATAGTTAAATTAAATTGTTTCATTGACACTCTAAAGCAGCAGTTCTATTTACTGTTTATAGATGCAAAAAGTATTGTGACTTTAATTGGTCTCTGTAAAATTGGTGCCGCAAATTCTATGATCAATAAATTATTGCATATTTAAATTTCAATGTTCGCAGAACTAAATCATTAATTTGAAATGAAGCTTGTGGCGAAACTCCTTGGCCATATTTAAGATAAACATTATTCCTCAGAAAGCTGTAGGAGGAAACGGCAAATGATACTTGACACCGAAAATAGCTTGAGACAGTTAACAAATGAAACCTGTATTCAACAAACACATCAGAACTTTTAGGAAACTATTAGACGCCAAAGAAGAAACAAATAGACAAGACTATAAGAGGGAAAAACAGAGTGTAATACAAGAGGGAAAAACTATAAGAACCTGAGATTAGATACACCAAAAAACAATCCTATCTGTTTTTCTTGGGTTTTGATTCAGCGTTCCTCCATATAAATCTTGTTCTGGACACACTTTTACAAGCTCAAAATAGATGATCACCAGTACACTAGAATGAGAAATGTGAAACGCCTCGGCACCAAAATCAGAGAACAAGCCACGACGAAATCGCAATAGATAGATGGAAACAAACACACTAAGGGCAGCTCTTACAAAAATCAAAAGAAAACATGAAAGATACCAGACTGATCTACTATTCGAGAGGTAGATCGTTTTTCCCACAACCTAGACGTGTCTAGGAACACCACAAGAAGAAAGAAAGACCGCAAACAAACAAAAACATGCATAAAAAAACAAACCTTAAGTTACCTAGGTTAACTCTTGATACTTCACTCCCCACTTAACAACGAGTATCAAGAGTGCAAAAAAAGCCAAAAACTAATAAAATTACAATTAATATAATGATTATATTGTCCTTAACATGTAGATTGTGTTTGACCCGTGTTACACTGGTTTCTAGTGATTGCATCAATTCACGATCACCGTTGGAAGTGGAATCCGCTGGTCTGTCTGTCAACCAGAAGAAGCCACACTGCTCTGCGATGATGTGCAAACAACTATAGAACTGTCTTCCGTAGCTATGTGCCCGACGTGATGTCTGTAGAGAAGGTTGTAGTCCGCTGTGACAAAGCACTCGTTGGGAGATCCCTGAAACCATGAAGCTCATCTTTTTTGAATGATTAAAAAGTCAATTCATTAGTCATAGCCTAAACTGATGCTCCAAAAAGAAGAGATGAACTTGGTTGCTTTTATTTGTCATACTCTCGGCCTGTACTCCCCTTGAATTTCTTGATTATGTTTTGCAACCCTTCATTGTTTAAATATGTCGTGAACCTATTTCCCAGATCAATTTCAATGAGGTAAATATCACAAAAGATTATTTTTGTTACTTTATCCCACAGTGCGGGTGTTGCAACCTCTTTGGCCTTAACCATTTTACTACTATGATAACCAAAAAACATACAAACATGAGTAAGAGCATTCAAAAAGAAAACCGCTACATTTCTCTGCCTCATGTCAATTCGACTGTCACAGTGTATGTGTGTGTGTGTGAGAAATGTACTTCTCTTATCATCACATTGCCCTAGGTGATATGACAAGTATATTTCAGTGGCTTAAATGGAATTTCACTGTCTCATTTTTTTTTCTTTTATGCCTCATTTCACAGTGTGTGTGAGAGAGAAATATACTTATCTTCTCATCAGAATGTCAATCTTCTCATCAGAATGTCACATTCTCATCAGAATGTCACAGGTGGTACCACTAATGAAATTTCAGTGGATTCAAATCACATTATACATCTTTGCTACTAGCTATAAGGCCACCAGTAAATTTTAATGGTTGAGAGTGAAAATATACATATTTGCAACTAGCTGTGATGCAAAAAAATAAAAGAAACACTGCTCTAATGATCGTCTCATTCTTTCTTCTATGACTCATTTCACAGTGTGTGTGTGAGAGAGAAATATACTTCTCTTCTCATCAGAATGCCACAGGTGGTTCCACTAGTAAAATTCAGTGGCGGTGAATGAAAGTAAATATATTTGCTACTAGCTATGAGGCAAAAAAAAAAAAGGAAACAATGCTCACATCGCAACCTCATTCTTTCTACTTCTCTACTTCATTTCACAGTGTTTGTGTGGGAGTGATATACTTCTATTTTCATCAGATTGCCACATATTGTATCACTAGTAAATTTCAGTGGCATGAAATAGTATTATGCATATGTGCTACTAGCTGTGAGACCACTAGTAAATTTCAATGGCTGGGAATGAAAGTATACATATTTGCAACTAGCTGTGATGACAAAAAAAAAGAGCCATTGCTCACATAACTGTCTCATTTTTCTTTTTTTATGACTCATTTCACAGTGTGTGAGTGAAAAATATTATTCTCTTCTCATCAGAATGCCACAGGTGGTACCACTAGTTAATTTCAATGGCATGTAATGATATTATGCATATTTGCTACTATCTGTGAGACAAAAAAAAAATACAGTCACATCACTGTCTCATTCTTTATACTTTTCTGCCTCATTTCACAGTGTGTTTGTGTTGAGAAATATAATTCTCTTCTCATCAGAATGCTACACGTGGTACCACTAGTAAAATTTCAGTGGATTCGAATCACATTATACGTCTTTGCTACTAGTTGTGAGACCACTAGTAAATTTCAATGGCTGAGAATGAAAATATACATATTTGCAACTAGATGTGATGCAAAAAAAAAAAAAAAGAAACATTGCTCACATAACTGTCTCATTTTTTCTTCTACGACTCATTTCACAGTGTGTGTGTGAGAGAATTATACTTCTTTTCACATTAAAATGTCACAGGAGTTATCACTAGTAAATTTCAGTGACATGGAATGATATTATGCATATTTGCTACTAGCTGTGAATTAAAAAAAAAAGAAAAAGAAAAAGAAAAAGAAAAACATGGCTCAAATTGCTGTCTCATTCTTTCTACTTCTCTGCCTGATTTCACATTGTGTGTGTGAAATATACTTCTCTTATCATCAGAATTCTTTAGGTGATACCACTAGTAAATTTTATTGGTTTTGAATGAAATTAGACATTTGTAATTACCTGTGAGGTCAACAAAAAAAACAAGCATGACTCACATTATTGCCTTATTCTTTCTACTTTTTTGCCTTTTTTCATAGTGTGTGTCTGAGAGTAATATACTTCTATTTTCATCATATTGACATAGGTAGTATTACTAGTAGATTTCAATGACATGAAATTGTATCAAGCATATTTGCTACTAGCTGTGAGGTCAAACAAAAAAAAAAAACAAAAAAAATGTCTCACATCACTGTCTCGTTCTCTCTACTTTTCTGCTTCATTTCACAGTATGTGTGTGTATGTGAGAAATTTACTTTTCTTATTATCAGAATGCCACATGTGGTACCACTAGTAAATTTCAGTGGCATGGAATGATATTATGCTTATTTGCTACTAGCTGTGAAGAAACAAAAAACATAGCTTACATCATTGTCTCATTCTTTCTACTTCTCTGCCTCATTTCACAATGTGTGTGTGAAATATACTTCTCTTGTGTGAAATATACTTCTCGTATCATCATAATGCCCCAGGTGATACCACTAGTAAATTTCATTAGCTTTGAATGAAATTAGACATATTTGCAACTACCCGTGAGGTAAAAAAAAAACATGACTCACATTACTGTCTCATTCTTTCTACTTCTCTGCCTCATTTCATAGTGTGTGTGTGTGTGGGAGTAATATACTTCTATTTTCATCAGATTGCTACAGGTAGTATCACTAGTAAATTTTAGTGACATGGAATGGTATTATGCATATTTGTTACTAGCTGTAAGACTAACAAAAAAAAAACGAAAAAAGATGTATCACATCATTATCTCATTCTCTCTCCTCATTTCACAATGTGTGTGTGTAAGAAATATAATTCTCTCATTAGCAGAATGCACTAGGTGATATTACTAGTAAATTTCAGTGACATAGAATGAAATTATACATTTTTGTTACTAGCAGTGAGGCAAAAAAAAAAAAAATCAGGGAAAGATCCACCACACCGAAACCATCACCATATAGAAACAACAAATCAAAAAAATACAACCAAATCTACATAGTGCAAAGCAACGAGAAACAAAAGTGTCTCAAAAAAATATAGGGAGAGGGGATACCGCAATAAAGTGGACTTCGACACGTCGGTTAAGGCAGAGGAAGAAGAAGCTCCATGAGAAATAGAAAAGAGCAGAAAAAGGCCGAATGCTTAGGGCACGACCATTTCTCGCTCTCACTTCCTCTTGTTCTTTCTTTCATCACGTGGAGTGAAGGGATGAGATGAGATAATTCCTCTTGAAAGTTTTCGAGGGCAGTGAGGTTGTTGCTTGAACGACACCTGGGAAACAAATGTCATTAACAGGTAATATCATTTTTTTGATTCAGTTATCTAAAGCTTAAAAAGTTTATTATTACACTTAAATAAAATAAAAATGTCTTCACTAAAAGAACCTTTAATTTTTTTTTCCTGCAAGGAAATGTTTTTATAATTGCCCAGATTTTTTTTTTTCAGGGAACTTATATATCTTAAGAATGGATGCCCCCTAATTCTTATGGTCATTAGCACAGCAGTCTATAGAGCCTGCAAACTACTTCTCAAAATCGTGTTCATTGTGTCAATATAGTGTTCAGGCTTCTTATCTCAAGCAAAACTGATCTTTATCAAAGGTAATAAAGGAGGAGATCACCAACTCAGATAATAAAAGTTGCTGCTATCCATTCCTTTTGTCTGATTTGATCTGTCAATTAAATAGCCCAGTTGATTTTTGGCTGACCTTGAGCATTAGATTTTTGTCCTCGTTGTGACCATGCCTTGTTTTTAGATATTCTTCTTCTTTTTTTAGTGCATTTTGATCTCTTAAAAGACATAAATTATATGGAGAAGTGACTACAAAGCTTAAGTTGACAACCACTGACTATGAGCTGGTGTATATATGCTATTTTACTTACCTGAAGCTCTCCTGCCCTTGTTTCCTTTTTTTTTCCTTAAAAAACATTATCATGGAGAATTGTCTATTGATATCAAGTTCAAAGCTTTGCAAGTTTGAGTTTGGTTGATTGAAATTTGAAGCTATAAGTGATCTACTTTATACATTTGAATCACCATCTTACTGTCAAGTTGCTTTGCTGGAGCATTTCTTAAAAAATTCATTTTTAGGAATTTAAACAGGTCATCTTTCTTAAACTTCAGCTTTATATATCATATTTTCTTGGTGAGTTTAAATGTGCCTGAGCCTTCTTTGTAATGCCAAAAATGGAGATTATTCTTTGTCTTCTTACATACCCGTATTGTAGGCTTATGGCGTTCATATGAATGGCTATGTGGTGAAGAGTGGGCAGAAATTTCTTTGGGTAGGGAAGAGAAGTGATCTCAAGCCTACCTATCCTGGAATGCTTGATCACCTCGTAGCTGGAGGCCTGGTAGGTAAATTTTATCTCTCAAAACAGTTTGTTTCAATTGCTTACGTTGCATTTCTTGGATAGAGATTCAAACTGCAGCCCTTAAAAGTAATTAATAAAGAAGGGATAATATTTGCAGCACCATTTGTGGGTCGTATTTGTTAAGACTAATGATGATGATATTACTATTTGAATTGGACACAACTTAGCTTTATCATCTTGCTTCCTTGTGATATTCTAAAGGTCTTTGGATGCACGTAAAATATTTTGTGAAATTTTTATATAAAATAATTGTTATTTTAGGTTCAAAATGCTCAAGAAATTATTGGTTCAAGGCTTTATATCAGTTTTGTGTTCCTTTGCTGAATATTGTGATCTTGGATTTGTTTTGAAACTAGCGATCTTCTTAATGTTCTTTAAGAATCGTAGTGCGATTTTTTCAGTTATAGCCTGTTTACTTATGGAAATTTATTGTTTTAATGATATTGAGTGCTAAACAATGTGCTTCTATTCTCGTCTTTTCAGTGCTTAAGTGGTAACCCATAGTTTTTTGGTTCTCTCCCGTGCAATTAAATGGAAAGAAATTTGCTTTTATTCTTGCCTTGTGTGCAATATTTTGTTTTTTGAATTCTTTTTCGCTCAAGACAAGTATTCTGGAATTGCCTCAAGATTGTAACATAATTTATGGAGTCTCTGTATTCTCGACTATCTCAAGATCTGCACTTCAATAATGCTCATCTTTTTTCACTATACTGATATGTTGAATTTTTTATCACTGCGTTTCTTATGGCCTTCCAAGTGTCCTCATGACAAATTCTATACACTGGATTGTGATGTGGTGTGTACTAATATTGGCTGATTTTTCTTAGTAGAGTAATTTTTTTTTTGGGGGAATTTACATATATATACCACACAATTCTTATATATTTACGTATCTAACACATATGCTTTTACTTGCATACCACCATCTCTTTAACATCACATCAATAATACCACTATTATTAACTTTTTAATTGTGAAATACACCTTTTAATGCAAATGTTTTTAACATCAAAGTGTTATAAAAGTAAATATCAAACTTGAGGCATTAGATATGTAAATACAAAAGAATTGTGTGGTATGTATGTATATTTCCCCCTTTTTTCCTTTTACTTGAATTTAAGTGCCTGCCATTTCATTTTCAGATTTCTGATAGCAGAATTTTTAGTATAATGGTTAAAAGGGTTCTGTTTGCAATTAGATTTGGAACACTACATTAATATACATGCAAATGCTTGACAAACTTGAATGGGTAACGCCATGGTGACTAAGGGTCTGTTTGGGGCAGCTGCAGCGTATTGAATAATCTGTTGATAAGCTGATTAAAAATAATCTGCTGATAAGCTAGGTGCGATAGCTATCACAAATTTTTATTTTTTTGGAAAAGCTAGACCACAGCCAGAAACTTGCCGCCGCACTTAGACATATGCGGTGTGAAAACGCTGTTTTCAACGTTTTGAAAACGCATAAGCTACCAAAACACATTTTACCCAAACAGGTCAGGTGCATTTTCAAAACGCCACCGCACCAAATAAGCTGCCCCAAACTGACCCTAATTATTGTTGACTGTAAGGAAATATGTGGGAAATTAAAATAAATTAAAACCACACCTGCTCCCGCTTCAAGAGGTGATAACTGCTTCTGGTTCTCATTGTGTTCTGCTCGAACCATAAACGCCACGTATAAGCCAGGCTATCTGTGTTTTATCTCTTCAAACTGCACGCAAGAGATAAAAATCCCCTCTTATGTTCATACCGAAGCCCCATCTCTCTCTCTCATTCCCTCGTTTTCTGGCAGAAACACTCCCTCCTTGCCTCTTTTCTCCAGGCCGCACCCATCTTCTCCTGTTTGAGATTTACAATCATGGATAGGGCCAGTGGTAAAGCAAAGATGGGATTGCAATTTACAAAGACCTCCAAAATTTTCATCTTTCTCCTCCTCTACACTTCAATTCAAAGCTATGCTCATTGCTCCACCTCTATGTCTGCGTTCTGTGTGTACCAAAACCGCAGTAGTTTCTTTCCCTCCCTATCATCCCACAGACCATTCTTCTCATGTTCCTCCCTGCATTTCTCCCATTGGCTCTCTTCCTTTCTTTGCCTCTCACCATCCTCTCCTGCCTTCCCAATATAGTCTTGACTAGAGTTAGTTGGGATGCCAACAATGGGATCATTGCGTACAAGACTTCCGAAACTCCCATCTTTTCCCTCTGCTCCTATTCGTAGATTGAGATGCACGAGCCTCATCTCCACCGCGCCGCATGAGACCCCATTCAGTTCTCTATCTATATTCTATTTTCTCTAACCAAGAGATAAAAAATATTTTTGTTGTAATTTTTCATCTTGTTGCTGTCAATCACCGTTGTCAACATTGCTGCTTCACCCTAAAAAGTATAAATAATAGGGAAATTTTAAAGAATTCATTTGAGGAAACTTGCGTGCATGTCCGGGGAACTAAGTACTGTTCATGGAAAAAAATGTGTATTCATTTGGATCAATTTTTATAAAAAACAGGGAAATTCAAATGCTTGTTCTGAGAAACCTAAATACTTGTCAAGAAATTAAGCACCGTTAAAAAAAAAAATTTAAATACCTATTCAGGAAAATGTATGCTTGTGTTTTGGCTTTTTGCAGGTTAATTGAAGGCCCAATGCGTTTTTAAGACGGTGGGTTAAAATAATATTGTCTTCTGGCCGCAGTGTATCACGACACTGACCAGCACTTCTGTGAAGAATATTGGGCAGGCGGGCACTCTCCTCAATGCCTTCTAACGGGGTAGACGCTGGAAGGTTGCTGAAATTTTGGGTGATTTTTGACTTGCAAATGACTTAAAATTTTTTCTATTTAAACTTGTTAAAAATAAATTAAATTTTTTTTTTGAACTGTTTAAACTTACAAATAACATAAAATGTAAATTTTTGAACTTGCAAATAGGTTCAAAAATGTTTCAAAAATGTGAACCTTTTGAATTCGCAAAAATAACCTATAATTTGAATTATTCAAACAATTAGACATTAATATAAAATAAATAAAATGTAAATTTGAAAATAAATATTTGAAATAAAATATATTGATATAAGTTAACCCAAAGCATAATAGAAAAATAAATATCATTCCTTGAAGTAACTGAGCGGTCGCAATCAATACACTTGAAAGGAAAATTATAACATGACACCCGAAAATCGAAAATAACAACAGACATGACACAAATAATCAATCTAAGGTAGGATCTTGGAGGGGGTGGGGGGTGGTGGTGATCAGTAAGGGTTTGGCCTTCCAACGAGGTAGCAAGGTTTGGTTAAAGCTGGAAGGCGCAGCGACAACAAAGGGTGTGGACAGACAGCGAGTGGGAGGAGTTGTGGCAAGGGCAGCAAGCTGTAAGGAGAGGAACAGATGGCTGGGTGGCTGGAACAATAGAAAGCATCAGAAAAAATCTGTATCCGAGCGGTTGCAGTAAGAGGGAATGTTGGCGGAAGATATGGGGGATGCCGAGACCCACATGACAACAAAAGGACGACTGTTCGGGGTGGCGGTAGCGAGGACATGTGGTTGGATTAGGGAAACTGCAAGGAAAACAAAAGATGTGGCTGTTTGGGGCGGCTGCATCAATGAAGGGTGGTCAGGAGTGACATAGGGATGGGTGAAAAGGGATAGGGAAGATAAACACTACATTAGGAGGAGATACAATCGAGACTCTATCCAAACCCTTGGATCCCCTTGAAGGGAGAAACGATTGTTAGCGGCTATTCTAATAGAATTTTGAGCCATCTGAATTCTAAATCCTAATAAAATACATATATAGAAAATGGCTACAAAGGAATGAATGATAGCAGAAAAGAAAGCATATGAAACGAAAACTTGATTGTTTCAGCCTGTCTCCTACGATTGCAAAATTCTGCGGTACTGTGAGAGCTACTGTTTTTTGACCTCATTTTTAGTGAGATATAGTCCTCCTCTTAGGGTTTAGGATCTAGCCTTAGGGATCTCCCTTTGACTATCTTAGAACCTTAGAAATGGGACCCACCTCCTTTTAGAAATTCAACCTACTAACCTACTTCTGTACCCTTTTGGAGTTTCGCGTGTGTGGTATCGACTTCTAGCACTTAGAAGGGTGAAACCAACATGAGGAAACCCAAAAGAGATTCTTATAGGACCTTTGAAGCCTTAAGGTGGCCTTCTGCAACATTCGCACTCTCGCGCACACAAAACTTCGCAATTCGGAGAGTCGACACGTCCGATCGCCACAATTCTCATCGCTTGCACTGTTACCTATCGAAGACTCAAATAAACCTTTTAAAACGATCGATCGCGGGTTGAAATTTTATGAAATTTGAATTTTGACGCGTTTTTGACCCGATTGTCGACGACGTCGTCCGAGCGACCCCGAATGACAAACCGGACTGCACCGGCGCGTCCGGAACGTCGATTTTGCCCGGAGAGGACACCCATTTTGTCGCGTCGTCGCGCGCGAGTAAATTGTGTTTTAATATATGAGTAAATTGCATATAATTTAATATATATATATATATTAATTTATATAAAACCAATTCTCCCTTTTCCTCTTTAAACACTAAATCCCTAAACTCACGCACCCGAGCTCTACCTCCCTTCCCTCCCCCGTTCGCGTGTCTGGCCTTTCCTTTTCTCGGTCTCGAGCCAACCGAGCTCCTCCTCCACGAGAGAGAAAGTTGACCTCGTTCATCCTTCCCGAAACCGTGCTAGTCTCCCCAAACTGTTTTTTTTCCTTTTCCTGGTAGTTTGACTCTGGGAAGCTTGTTCCCTGGTACACTTGAGCGGCAAAATCTTCTCTTCTTCCCGATGCTCCCCTCGCTGCTACTGGGCTTGCCGCTCTGTCCGAGATTTTTTGGTGGCTTCGCCTTCTATGAGCAGGGAGCACGTTCTTTTCTTCTTTGACCTGATTCGAGTGTCGTGGGTCGAGGGGGTGATCTCCTTTCTCTTCTCCTCTCTTCTCTGCCGATAAAG